TTTACTGGGGAAGGTTTCCTCAGAAGCCACGGGAATGGTCCTCTTTTCAAGACTATTAGATCATCGCATCAGAGAACACGTCTGTTCCATCACACAGCTACAGCCGGACTGAGGTTTGGGACTGGAGTTTGCAAGAAAGAGTCTGGAAACTCCGCCCCCTAGTCAGTATCATGTTTCCTAGATCCCATCCTATTGGCCTATCTTAGAATAACAGTAACCTAAACTGCGGGTATCCATTACCTCAGAGTAATGTACACCGGGCTATCCAGTGTCCAGCGTGATTAATTATTGTCACCTGTCATCCCGCACACCATGGATGGAGAGCACAGGTTCAAGCAAAGGTCAACGACCCCTTGAACAGGGATCTGGCCCGCGAGGAGTGGGTTTATCACACAGAGAGAAGAAATTATCTGTATTTTGGGAACCCAGGATAGGTCAAAGAATCAAAAGTTAAGTTTCTGATAGAGTGAAGTGGAAAGTGTTCAAGCGGGAACTTCACCATATATTATAGTAAAGTAAGTAAGTACATGTATGTCATTATATCGCCAGGGAAGAACGGCTGATTTCTCCTATACGTGTCTTCGGTATGTAAGGGTGCGGTCAAGGTCAACGCCAAATACCTGGTAGCTTGAGTGACCTCGGTTCCAATGGATGACCCTTACAAGTTCGTAAGATAGCTGCCGATGTTGTAGAAAGTCCTACCCGGCCGACCACTCTACTCTCTACTCTAGATGTACGTACCCGGAACAATGACACAGGAGCCAGAGCTACATAGTGACGTGTATTCTCTCCTCTCCGATTCTAACTCTCTCTTTTGACTACTCGAGTACATGGGTTTTATATCCTCTATCCACCTACACACAGATTTCTTGGAACAAGGGCATCATACTTCCTGTATCAGCCATTCTAAATCACTTCATTAGGCATTAGTGGAAAAGCCCTGACCATTACCAAATAAGGCAATGTCCAGCCACTGAGACCCTGGTCCCCTACCGTCAGGAACCCATTAGTTCTTCCTGGGTCATTAACTAGATGTCTCTCAAAGATCTCTTACATTTCTCAGAACAGGGGAAAGTGATTCAGTACAAGAACAAGAAAGTGTTTTTCCAGCCTACGGTACAAGAAACGTATATAACCTAAGATACTTATTCTTATCAATATACTACAGGCTAGAGCACCCTATTACAGGTACATGCATGTACATGTAGCCCCAAGACATATAAAAAGGAGTGAATCCTATCTAGCGATTCTAATTTTTAAGCGCACAACATAAATTTGCCTGGGCCTACAAAAATGTAACTGATTTTGGACCCCTGGTGGCTTTCCTCGTACTGTAGCAGAAATTCTGGATTCTTTCTAAGGCCACAGCAAGTAAATTTTATGGATGACATCCACGAGCACATTAATTTTCGTCTGATTTTGGAAAAAAAACAAGAACTTTTGCTGCCTTCTGACAGTGGTCAACATGCCGAAAATGGGCAAAGATGTCTGTTGCCATGCCGGAAGGTGGATGGCAGATAACTAGGAAGAGAGGAGAGAAGAAAAGGCTCTGATTTATTGTATGTTTCTTACTTTGATCATGGAGGTAGAAAATGGCCTTTTTTTCTACCTCCATGCTTTGATGCAGTGATATGTGATGCTGACTGTGTATATGTGATGTTCCTACTGAATCAAAACCATTTGTACATTTCACATTGTAGGAACCTTTTTTTTTTTTGGCCGGCCTTGTTTTTTTTTTTTTCGCCCGCCCGCATTAGATTTGGAGTCTGCGGAGGATATCATCTATAAAATTTACTAGCTGTGGCCTAAATTATATGTGTACGTATATGAAAAGAACAATTGTATCAAGAACGGAACAGATTAAACACAAAATCGTCGCCTGTGTTTTTTTAAAAACATCATACTTGTTTAATTTGTTTATTTTTCTTTTTAGATTTCACCTAAAATGATGCTACAAATAATGTCTCAAGGACCTGTCCAACTGTTTACTTGTGGACAAATAATTCACTTACAAAAATGTTTCTGGAAAGGCATTCAATGATATTTCAGAGTTCAGGGTTTGAAATTCAGATGTTAGATTGAAAATTTATCCGAGAACCAATTAATTAAATTGGTGTGGCCTTATGTACACCTATGTGAAGCTGGTTTATATCATGGTTGAACAAACTCAACAAGATGTGAAAGTTTGTTTATTCAAAGAGCCACAGGCTGCCCCTTGTCAATCTATAGCCTGTAGGACATGTTGAAAGTTTACTTAGTCCCTGTAGTTGTCAGAGGTGACTGTATTCACAGATGTGGGAAAAACTCAAGACTTCAGATCAAGTCAGACCAGATATCCGTAAAGTTAGCCGCATGTGTAAGACACAAAAGGCAGTGCCTAAAAAGGTACATGTACACTATGGGTGAAATTCTGCCAAC